TGGCACCCCTGAAAAGGACATCAAGGCTCTCTTTTCCACTTCCTCCATGTACAGGTTTGCAACAATAGGAGAAACTGGGGATACCATAGCACACAATAMAGTTGGTGTAGTGCAATTAGATCCAGTGATAAAAGTGACCAGAAAAACAATAGTCAGAGTTGTGCAGTTTAAAAACCAGTGATYAAGTGGCCAAGGCAGAGTTATAGAGTCACGTGATTCTAAATGTCATGATTCTAGTACCTACCACAGTTTGAGATGTAGCAATGAAGCAAAACCCAATGATGTTTGTTTCTGTTATTATGTAGTTTCATGTGATGGTTTTTGAAAGTAGTGATCCATTTTAAAGAACCCTTTAGAAAAAAACTAAATGATTACTACTTTTTATTCACAAAAAGAAAATAGTTTACATTACAGCACTCATCTCAAGGAAATTAAACATGAAAGAAGATGCTGTTTTTAAAACTACTTTGAGGAGAACTTACGTCTCTTTTTTTTCTAGACAGATCTATTCCCACTTTTCAGGCTGATCCCAAACGTCATCTAACATGAGACAAGTCTGATCCTCAGCTGTGCAGAGCAGCACCGCCGAGACACTTGGATAAACAAACAAGATGGATGCAGCTGTCATTTCATTTCATTTATTTATTCCCTCTGACTTCTTCATTCAGTCCTAAATCCTCCATTTTCTATTATTCAATTTCAGTGTAGCTGAGAGTCTGGATTTGATATTAGATGGTTCCATTAGAGCTTGAAAGTAGGAATTTCCAAGTTTCCATTATTCAAGATCAACTGGACACCCCACTGAAGCTGGATTTACACACAAAATGTCTTGGGAACCTCAAAAACCCACWTCTCTAAAATAATGTAGCTGCAGTATTAAACCATTTATTAACATATTTATTAATTTATGTTTTATACTAAGTCTATTACAGTTTACAGCCTCATTACACTGCAATTTTTTATTGGTACTTCTGCATTTTTTACTTTTATGTTGTCTTCTGTGAAGGTTTTCCTCGTTTTTTTATTAGTATATTTTGTTATGTTTCTAAGCACATTAAGTTGACAGATTTCATATAAAATGTGCTACTCTAACAAAACTTGACTTTGAAATGTTCAATTGATAGAAATAACTCAAGATTATTCATCAGATTTGTTCAGGTCAATAAGAATTACAGGATTTTCCACCAACCAGCTATCTGAACATTTGATTGGACTCAGAGCGTACAATAGAGAATAATACCAACATTACGTTGTTTTAAACTAATACAACCTGTTGCTTGACATGTTTTTGAAATGTTGAGCCATCTGAGGCGGCTCAACATATTCATAATTTAAATCCTCAGTGATAAATCTCAGTTTTGAGTAATAAATGTCTAAAACATAAAGGTTGAAACTAGATATGTAAATATTGCCATGATTTAAAAATTTGTCTTACACATTTTTCTACGAAAGGAAAGATAATAAT